GCTATCAAACAGGCCCTTAATGAAATGTATAATTAAAAAGTTGTAAATCCTATGATTCATATGATTAAAAATGAATTTAAAGAAAAATTATTTTAAAAAAATGGAGGGGAAACATGGACTTTATACACTCTTTAAGTTAATTACAAGGTGTAATAGTCACATTTAATCTTGATATAATCATGTTACATGTACATTATTTTTGACATATTGTCACGTGACGACATACCATTGGACAGTTTAAAAAAAACATTTTCCCACCACAACTTTTTGAACTCTAATAAAATGTACACAATGATGTTAATCCCATGATGTACACTTAACATTGTTCATCCTTCTAACGGGCCAATCTTCACCAAGTCATTGCCTATAATATACCAGACCCACCCTAAGTATTGTTTGAATCAATCAATTCATATACAACTAGATTCAGTCCCCACATATTGCTGAGGACCCAAATGTCGTAGGCGTGCTCAAACTGGGACACCCTCTTGCCCATCATTTTCAGAGCTTAAACCTTAATCACGTAAAAAAACACCTATTAGATTTGGACACAAAATGAACGAGATTTTCACTCCCAAATTCCAACAAATATGTCCTTTATCAAACAAAAATGTACTGATCACATGATAGCCCATAATTTCTTTTAGCAACATCACACATGCAATAAAAATACGGGTTCTGCAATCTTGATTTTTGTGTTTTTACAGCTTGCAAAAGTGAAAAAGTGTCCGTTGGAGATGTTCCCCAATTATCAGCATTAAAGAAATCAAAAACAGTAAGATCTGAACAAATCACAGCAAAATACTAATGGTAAGAATTGAAGACGCAAAGGTCCCTTCCTTTCCTTTGGAAAACCAACTTCTTCCTAGGCAAACCAGCCAATTTGCTTTTGCTGGCTAATAAGGCGAGATCCTGTATTGTTTCGCCGATCAAATCCTTGAATATTAACCGTTCAATGTCCAATACCGACTCCGACATCTCCACGGGAGAATCTCCCCACCCGTTGATCGCATCCCCGGCTAGGTCTTTTTTCAGAATCCCACATATGGTCTCGAACAAATCTTCAGCTGTATCCCTCTCTCGAATTCTTTGGAATTCGGACCAAATGTTTTCGTGGGTCCATGATACAGACTTCCACGGAGGCAATTGTCTGTTCCAGTCGAGGATTTCATTAATCGTGTCGAAAATTAATTTTCTTTCGAGTCTAGAGACTTTGGAAGTGTCCTTCCCCTCGAGATACTGTTGCTTCTCAAGTAACATAAATATATCAGAATCCTCTGGGAGATATTGAGATGCTTTCAGTATATCACACATGTAAACAAAATCAGAGTCCTCTGATATTTCTTCACATTTCGCTTGCACTGGGGATATAACTGGTGTCCATATCTCTTCCTCCAACTCTCCTGATTCATCTGTCACATTATTAAACATCAAAAAAGTTGGTTCGCGTTCCCTCCATTCGTACTAAAGTCGATCAAATACTCCAGAACTGAAATATAAAGTAATTTTACGTTCAGACAGTAAATGCAGAATCCTTGTTCAAACTTGGATTATGTGGTCACAAAATCTAATTCCTCTTCCTATCTTATAATGAAAAAATAAGTACACATTCAGAAAGGACCACGTAAAACGATAATTGTGGCCACAAGTGTCCATTCGTAAAAAATTCCACATAACCATATCCAGATTTGTCACAAGTATTTCAAAATTAGGCGAGTCGAGCGTAATATTATTATTCTAAATCGACTACACTAATTAATTATTTGGTAGTTGAGTACTGTACTTGCAAAGTCAATGAAAGACATTGGCTTATCGAGTATGGTCGTCACCGTTTGTTCCCTTTACCACGTGACTTACGTACGCCCCGTCATGTGCTACATTTTCCTACACCCTAAACCCTTTCCCGTTAGCCAGTTCTCATCCAATGGACGTTCAGCAGCCATTAATTTCATAGCAGAAGAACTAGAGTTTAATTATTAATTATGGAATATTAAATAACTCGATTCATCAGTTTTTGCGGTTTTAGAAGAGAAATGATTACCTTTGAAATCAATGCGACGTTTCATTGTGATCGGCGAAGGTGATGGTGACTCGAACGAGTCAAGAACGGAGACCGGACTCGGTTGCGAATCGGTTGCGGTCATTTCGGCTATGCTGTTGAGCAGTTTATCGCACCTATCCAGTAAACTCCTTCCATCTTTGTGTTCCGCCATTTTTGACCTCTGTGATTGACATTTCCACTATAATTTAGTTAATTATATGTAAAATTTCAATTAATTAATAAATTGAAATGAGCATTACCTCTGAATCGGTCTGAGAAGATGTACTGGCGGTGCTTTCAGAAACGGTGGAGGATTCATCCTCTGTAACGATGCTTGTGATTTTCTCTTTCTGATGAATCTCAGCTGTGGATTTCTTATTCCTTGGCGACCGATTCGTGACGGTTTGATGTGAGCCTGTTTTTCTCGCGTTCAGCTTCGGCGAGTGAATGCGAGAAAGTTTCTGGTTCTGTGTTGACTCGTTAGCTCTGCTACGAGTTTCAACGCTTAGCGGCTTAGGTTTGATGAGTGAGTTTGACCGCTTTTCATTACACTCACTCCGAGCTGGTGCGCTTGAGCTTCTAGCTTGCCTCGTGGGGCTCCCCACATTACGTTCAGTCCGGGGACTCACTTCACCGGCGAGGTCAAGATTCCGGCGAATTCCTCGCACTTGATTTCGGTCATTGGAAGGCGAATAACCGTTTCCTGGTTTACGGTTGGTTGGAGACGCCATTGGTGATCTCAAAGGTTTCACCATCACCACCGGTGACTGATCGTAAACGAAGTTACTGTAACTGATTTGAGATTGCTCAGAAGGCTTCCTGGAATGAAGGAGTCCTTTAAGTTGGAGTGCCTCGAGGATTTGTTTCAGTGTTTCCAAATCTTTAGAAGGTTCATCGATTCCTCTCATTTTCAATCTTTTCTCAATCTCGCCGTAGATAGAGACAGTCTGCTTTGGCTCCGGAAAAATGTCACCGGAATCAAAGAAGCTTTTCCGGTGAAGTGGAGTCTTCCACGTCAATGGATTTACGCCTCCTCGGTTCAGTCCCTTTCGCTCCTCAACCTTATTAACATACATGAATGGATCTGCATGATGTGTGAACTCAAAAGCACCATTGTCTTTCACTGCATAGTTGGAAATGTTGGAATGGGACTGAATTGCTTGCTTCAAGTGGAAATTGTTACCGTCCATGATGAATCGAGAATGGAAGATATCTCTTGAAACTCTTGATTCAGAGGCAGATCTTCGGAGCTCGGTCTTCTTTTCGGTCTCCGTATTTGATGAAGCTGGCAATGGCTCGAGGCCCATGAGCCTTGCAATGACACTTGGAGATCGGTTTAGTTGGCTGTCGGTCGCCATTACATTTTCCGCACCACCGTATGCGGGGGTGCTTGTGCGGATCTCTTTCGGGTGAAGGCTTCCCTTGGCGTCAGTGGTGGCTCTGCTATCCAATGAAAGCCTTGGGGCTTCTTTGCCGAACTTCCACGTAGACTTCGTGCCATCCTTCGTTGGTAGTATAGGCAGTGGAAGGGGTGATTTTGGCGGTAACTCCGGCGCCGGAGATCTCATTTCCTCTGCCGGAGACACTCTAGGTAGTTCTTTGTTTGGCTTTCCCAATTCCATTGATATCACCGGTGATGTCGCTGCTGAAGTTCCCGATTCAGATGAAGTAAGAACACCCTGAATTCCAAAAATTAAATAAAATAAGGCTATTAGAAATTTCCAACGTACTAGAAATTAGTTACAGAACCAGATAGGGAAATGAAGAGATAATAGAAATTAATAAAAAACTTACCGAGGGAGGAGGGAGGCGTTTGGGGGAGTAGAGGTGTTTCCCGGTCAAAATCTGGTTGCGATCAAAGATTTGAAGAAAACCAGCCATACAACCCATCTGCTTTTCTATTTGTTTCTCCAGATTCTTTTCTTGCACCATCCCCGTCGTCATTTTCCGGCCAATCACGTCACTTTCAGGTAACTTTTTCACTCTTTGACAAAACCCAACTCAAATCTCACACACTTTATTAAACTAAACTAAAGTCACATTTGGATTAAGTCTCCATCTTCAAATCTGGCTCTCTCTTACTCTCTCTACAATTGCTTTTATCTGCTTAACTCCCGCTTTCTGCTATTTTAAAGGGTGGACGGAGTAATATGGTGAGAGAGCGAGAGAGAGTTGGGCTAGACTGTTGTTTTCACTTTTTCCTCGGAAGTTGTGAATCGAACGGTTTTATCATGGGAAAATTGCATCACGATACCAAACCTTTCATTTAGTAGTAAATTTTGTCCAAACTTTTCATTTGTGCCAGTCACGATACCAAATCTTTTAAAATGTAGCAGTCGGAGTCACCGTGTAAAAATTGACCAAATGTAATAAGAGCAAAAATTTACAATTTTAATATAAAATAATTAGAATAA